CTATCTATCTGTTTGTCTGTCTGTCTGCCTGTCTGCCTGTCTGTCTGTCTGTCTGTCTGTCTGTCTGTCTGTCTGTCTGTCTGTCTGTCTGTCTCGTTCATCTTTAGACGGGCATCCCAATCTCTAGTGTGAAGTCTACTTTTCTCCGCAGATTCCCGAGGCCCTCAATAGCTTTAAGTCTCTCTGCACGTCGTGTTTTACTATCGTATCCATACGACGTGGAGAAATCTGTGCCGCCACTTTTCAAAGACAAAATTTACTCGTTAATCCGATCCGTACGCTTTGAATAGCAGTCCGTGAAAATTATTTTTTGAGAAATACTGAAAGTATCAAAGAGAATATAGGTACTAGAAGTATTCTAAAATGTGAAGAATACAATTCCGGGGATACAAAATGACCCCAGGGCGTACGGACAGTTTTTAGTCTCTCTGCTGAGGGTTGGGCCAATAATTCTTCTTTCTAAGTATCCTGTGCATTGATGGGCGGGCAGGCTTGCGGAACATGGTTTCCTGTTATGTTGCCGGTTTCGCACTAACTCTGCTCTGAATTTTTGAGTTTGAACTTCTTGTAAAGGTGGTGTTTAAGTCGGCTGTGCCCTGTTCTAACTCTTGTAAAGTGTTTTATGGCGCTCGCAACTGCATAAGGTCATATGAGCGCGCGGGACACACCTAATATTTTCAGTTAGTAGGAAATTTTGAATTTTGCCCGGGTGGCATCCGAAGCCTACTCTTATCGATTTTAGACCACCAAGGGATCTTTAACGTGCGCAACTTGTACACGGGCCCTCCGAGATTTTTCGCCCTTGTCCGAGAAGGCTTGGTGTAGATTTTTCTTACCAGAAGAAAGGTGCTGAAAGACAGCAGTAAGAAGAAGCGAAGGAGTAGCAGTAGAAAGGCTGCAGAAAGAATCAGGAGCCCTGAGGAAGGGGCAAAGTAGGTGAGGGGGTGGGGGCAGAAAGTGGAGACGAAAGCAGACGACAGAACATTGCTAGAGAGCAGGAAATGAGGTGAAAGGGGACAAATTTAGAGAAGAAAATGTTTCTGTCGCTACCCGGATTCGAACTCAGGACCTTTTGAATGAGAGGCCAACACCTTAACCTCAAGGCCACGAGAGCCCCCGTTCTAACTCTTAACAGAACAACCTGCTCTTGTCCGGTGAGGTAGTAGGGGTCATTCTGGTTGTCTTTATGATGGTATTTAAATATTAGTTTAATAATGTCATGTCCTTATCTATCTATCTATCTATCTATCTATCTATCTATCTATCTATCTATCTATCTATCCCCAGGTGACCATGAACAAACTTAGCAAGCCCCTTGGGATAGTCGTGGCTGTCCTGGTAGCCACTTCCGCCATGGGGGCGCTCAACGCTTCCGTCATGGGCCACACACGGTGAGCTGGGGAGACGGGTCCTACTAATTGCCATGCGGAGCCGTCCGTAGGGGGTCATCTCTTATAGGTGTTGCAGCCTGTTACGTACGAAACACCTACATTCACAAATCTATCGCTGTCTTCAGTTGGTACATCTACCCCTTTTACACCTAGTTGGGGCGAGAAATTGGGGGGGAGGTGGGGGGGGAGGGGGTGGCAGGTTGGGAGAGAGCACGAAAACAAAAGCTGGGTCTGCAATTTCGAAACTGCGAAACGAAAAATAAACAATCAGAGATTGTTGGTCTGCTTCGTCCAACTTCCGGTTCAAATAAATCAGCTGTCCTCAGCAAAAAGTCAATTCTGTCTAGTTTTTAAAAATTTTAGGCCAGTTTTGTTAACAAACAAAAAAAATACCCCCCAAAAAATTGTAAGGCAAAATGATATTTTTAAAAATAAGTCTACGGACGGCTCTGGACGGCAATTAATAGGACCGGGGGAGACCACAGACTGGCTTCTCTTCTATTTTTCTAAGACGTTACATGTCCCAAGTCATCACTCAAAAGGAAAAATAGTTTATTAAATGAGTTGAGGTGATAGAGCATGATTTATCCTACTGGTGAAATTACCAAGTTGTAATCACGAGTTTTTCAGTCAATCCTGCTCTTACATTTACCTATTTAAGATAATCACCTATCAAACCGTCTCTTTCTTTTTTTCAAACTTGCCTTCTTTTCATTATAACGACACAGTGTAAGAAGACCTTTTTCCGCTTCTTCCTTATTTTCAATATAGTGGCTGTTTGTAAGGCGACCACTTGTCTAATACGGCTACTTTTCCCCTCAACAATGGGTGACCGTACTTGCTTCAAATTAATCATGCCTGTATGAGAGAGAGAGAGAGAGAGAGAGA